CAAGATGAATGAAGATAAAGCATTGACGGAGCAGTTAGATACGTTCAGCAAGCTGATTCTTGATCTTGAAAATATTGATGTTACCATCAGTGACAAAGATCAAATGTTGTTATTGTTGTGTTCTTTACCTAAGTCGCATGCTCACTTCAAAGAAATCCTCTTGTATGGAAGAGAGTCTCTGATCTTTGAAGAAGTTCAAGCATCTTTGTATTCAAAGGATTTGAACGAAAGAAAGAAGGAAGCACCATCATCATCAGTTGGCAAAGGGTTATCCGTGAAGGAGAAATCCTCGAAGAGAGATGGTAGGTTTGAGAAGAAGAAAGGTAAAACCCAGCATAAGTTTTATGGTGGTGATATTTTTGGTATTAAGTGTTATCACTGTAAGAAGGAAGGTCACACAAGAAATGTGTGCCCTGAGCGCCTAAATAATCATTGAGGTAAGGACAATGGCAATGCAGCTATTGTGCAAGATGATTATGAATCATCTTATGTTCTTGTGGTGTTGAGCAGAAACTCTTGCAAAGAGCGGATTATGGATTCGGGATGTACTTGGCATATGACTCCAAACAATAATATGTTTGAAGAATTATGTGATCAAGATGGTGGATCAATGTTGTTGGGAAATAATAAAGCTTGCAAGATTGCAGGTATTGGATATGTAAGATTCAAGCTCTATGATGAGTCAATAAGGCTATTGACTGGTATTAGGTATGTACCTGACCTTAAGAGGAATTTGATTTATCTTGGTAAATTCGACAAGAAATGATATATCTTAAAAGGATAGCAAGGTATCTTGAAAGTCATGAAGGGGTCGAAGGAAGTCTTGAGAGGCGTGAAGAAACAAGGCTTGTATACCCTTTAGGCTAGGGTTGTAAGTGGTTCAGCAGATTTTACATCCACGAAACTTATGTCAAAGACAGAATTATGGCACATACATTGGACCATGTCAGCGAAAGAGGTCTAGTCAAACTGGGAAAACAGAACTTGTTAGGTGATGACAAATTCGAGAAGTTTGAGTTTTGTGGACCTTGTGTATTTGACAAATCTTGTAGGGTGAAGTTTAAAAAAGGTAAACAAAGAACACATGGATCCCTTGATTACGTTCATGATGATCTTTGGGAGCCTGCAAGGAATCCTTCACATTCATGGGCAAGATATTTTTATCCATAGTTGATGACTATTCCAGAAAATTATGGGTATTCATTCAGAAAACTAAGGATGAAATTTTTGAGAATTTCAAAAGTTGGAAGGTTCTAGTTGAAACTCAAACTAACAGAAAGGTCAAGAGGTTGAGAATCGACAATGGCCTTGAGTTCTACAATGAAGTTTTCGGCAGTTACTGTGTCGAGTCTAAGATTGCAAGGCATAAGATTGTAGCAGGTACTCCTCAACAAAATGGCTTAGCTAAGAGACTTATCGTACAAACTTTGAAAGGGTTAGATGCATGTTGGTTAGTGTTGGATTGAAGAAGGTGTTTTGGGCGAAGGTTGTTTCGTCAGCAGCTTATCTAATAAATAGATGTCCCTCGACTGCCTTGGGAATGAAGACACCTGGTCGGGTCAACCAGCAGATATCGACAAACTGAGAGTATTTGGTTGTTTATCTTATGCTCACATTAGGCAAGACAAGGTCGAATCTGGAGCTCTGAGATGCATGTTCCTTGGATATCCTGATGGAGTCAAAGGTTATAGGTTGTGGTGCCTATAACCAGATCACAGAAGATGTATCACAAGTCGTGATGTAGTTTTCAATGAATTCTGAATGGCGTTCAGTAAAACTAGTGATACTGGTCAAAGTGAAGAAATCTCTGAAGAGCAGCTGGAACAAGTAGAGATTCATGTTGAGGTGTAACATAGTGATGCTCAAGTGCATAATCTAGATGAAATTGAAGAAGAAGAGCAAGATGCTGAAGAGACTGAGGAAATTGTCGATGACTACCTACTGATAAGAGATAGGTCGAGAAGAGTCATCAAGCCACCTCAGAGACTTGGTTATGCAAATCTTATAGCTTTTGCCTTAATCTCTATAAGTGAGGTACTTGATGAAGAATCTAGAGACTACAAGGAAGCTATGAGGAGTCAAAATAAGACTAAATGACAAAAAGCCATGATGACGAGATAAAATCTCTTCATGATAATAATACTTGAGAGATGATTGAGAAACCTGTAGAAGATAGGTTAGTTAGTTGTAAGTGGATTTTCAAGGTCAAGGAAAGAATCGAAGGAGTGATGTCAAAGCGCTTTAAAGCAAGGTTAGTTGCTATGGGGTTTAGACAGAAATAATGCGTCGACTTCAATGATATGTTATCACCTGTTGTAAAGTATAGATCCATCAGAATGTTGTTAGCCATGGTGGCGAAGTTCGACCTGGAACCAAATGGATGTGAAGACAGCCTTCCTGTATGGTGATCTAGATGAAATGATCCTAATTCGACAACCTGAAGGGTATGCATAAAAGGATATGGAAGATTGTGTGTGAAAGCTTAATAGTTGTTTGTATGGCCTGAAACAATCTCCTCGACAGTGGAACAGGAAATTCGACAAGTTCATGGCACACATTGATTTCACTAGGAGTCAATTCGATCATTGTGTTTACTTCAGATTTCGACCTGAAAACTCACTTATTATTTTTCTGATTTGTGGTGGAGCCTGTGGTGATGATAGCAAATTCGAAATCGAAGAATTTATCGACTCTGATTATGCAGGTTGTATGAATTTCAGAAAATCTATTTCTGGATATGTGTTCATTATGCTCGGCACAATAACCAGTTGGAAAGCAACACTTCATAAGGTTGTTGTCTTATCAACCACTAAAGAAGAATACATTGCTCTCACTGAAGTTGTGAAAGAAGCATTGTGCCTTGAAGGTTTTGCAAAGGGGCTGAAACTTCAAGGTCGAGTTATCACTGTTAAATATGATAGTCAAAATGCAATACATCTGTCAAAGAATTCAGCCTATCATGAGCGAACCAAGCACGTCGTGTAAGGCTACACTTCGTTAGAGAGATAATCGAGCGTGGAGAATTCCAAGTGCTAAAGGTTTCGACGGATGACAATGTTGCTGATATGATCACTAAGACATTGTTGAGTTGCAAGTTTTTCCACTGTATGCAGTTGATAAAACTGCGTGATGGAAGCTAGTTTATTCCCTGATTGTTTGTAGAGTTTGATTCAAGGTGGAGATTTGTGAGATATTAAATTGAACTCTAGTGTTGTCGATTGGGATAGCTTTCATGATTCGACAGGAGACAAGCATGAAATCAAATATTGTTCACATGTTGATGTCCAAGTGTTTACATATTGTAGTCGAAGTCAGTTCTAATATGTAGTGTCGAATTATTATTTCGAATTGGATCTTGTGTTAAGGATCCAATTGCTTAGGTTAGCTTGTTATTTAAGTGACCTTGTAGTCTATAAATAGGATAAATCACTCAGGATGTTGAATGAGGCTAAATGTGTTATTCACTTGTAATCATTTATAACATTGAGTAGGTGAATAGAAAACAGTTTGCGCAAATTCTTCTTCCATCTTTCTTCTTTATCTTTTCTTCTTTCTCTCTTTAGAAACCTAATTGTCTCATTGTTCATCAAAAAACTTCGTTTCTCATTCAAAAAAGTGTTAAAATGTATCGTTTATGATCACATTAGAAGCTATACCAATTTCTACTTTTTGGCGTGTCCCATTATCCTATTGACCAATCAAATGTCTAGTAAATTAAAATAAGATATGTAATTTAGAATTTGAATTTGAATTTGACTTGAAGAATGCTTGAATGACATGGATTGCATCTCTTCTAGCTTAACCATACGCCATGAGTTTGAACCCAGCCTTAAGAAGACAATGTTAAAACTCTAGAAAGAACTTTGTCACTCATTGTTATAGTATTATCTCTCAACAGTTACATGCAAGATATCTAATTCACAATAAATAAGATAGTCGATAAATACCTAATTTACAACAAATAAGATAGTCGAATACAGTATCGGGCAGTCTTGACTTTGTTGTCTTTCCTCAAAAACTCCAAAAGCATTTGCAAGTAAAATCGGACTTTTCAACAGCATGCAGAAAGGTTCACTCACGAGTCACATAGGTTACGACAAAGTCTCCCGTGAGTTTTAATACTTTCTGTGATCAGAGCGTAAGTGCCTGTGCTCTAGCTAGAGATAAAATGGCATTATGCTTCATAACACACCAAGCAAGGACAATGTCTTGAAGTGTGGGGAAACATAGACGTTGTATAAGTTCAATCAGGCAATCGCATTAGTCAAAGAAGAGTTTAACAAGTTCCGGATCTTATCAAAGTCATCGATCTCACTATATATATTTCCTTGTTAGAAACTGAGATTCATATAAAGTAAAGGAAAGACAGAATTCAAGAGAACAGAATATTACATAAAGAGTACAAGTGGTGTACTTGCGGTACTCCTTGATGTAACTAACTTCTAACTGAATTCATATTTGTGACTAATAGAATTTTGACTTAGTTAAAAAATGTGTGTTGGGCTAAATACCACATTTGTGTTTCGGACGGAAAAAATATTGTTTTTTCCAGAAGTATCCTTCTGAGGTGACTTTGGAGGTGGAAAAAGAAGCTCTCTATTCCTAATTAGGCAAACATAGAATATGAAAATGTAACAAATGGGGTTCTGTTTTTCTTAGCGCCAATAAACAACATAACTCCCTTTGCATAAAAAAAGATATAAACTCATGACGTACACACATCACTCCATCCAATAGAAGTTTAAAACTGAATGTGTCTATTTACATGATATAAAGTTTACACTTTAGAAAATTGGTAGGAAAGATGAAAGAAACCTGGCTCAATTTGGATACTTAGGACAATATTAAACAAAAATATTGTTCCTATGAGCATATTGTTTTCCAACCATGTCATGAATTCGGTACTTTATTATAATTGTATACTAATACTCACAAACTTACACTGTGCAGCTTCTCCAGCATTTACAAGCAAAACCGAGCGAAGGAAGCACACACAAAGCTCAATTTTTCTCTGATTTAAGTTGAATACCAAGTAAAACAAGCCCTGCCGAAGTAAGTGCAGACAAGAATGTGGAGGCGTAAAAAAGAGCAAGCAATGTTCCCCTCAAAGACTGCGGCCAAATATTTAGACATTTTAGGCATCAGAAATAGGTAGTTAACAAAAGCAGGTTGAAGTGTTGTGAGTAAGAAGTTATTTCAAAGCACCTTAGCAAGCATCATCGCATTGTCATTTGCATACTGCAAAGAATTCTCTGGAGTGCTTTGAACTCCCTGAGCTATCTCCCAGGTAAGAATCCTAATTCAAAGTTTACAGAAGAACTAAGTTTTCGAGGTCTCAATCTTCTTGCTGATAAAATTTTAACATGGAAAACTTACCCAAAAACTAATGCAATTGCGGCCCCTATATTGGCTTTAGTGGGAGTAATTTCAACTTGCAATGCTCCAAACTGCAGTCGGCGACCAGGTTATTAATTTTGCAGAATCCTAGTAGTTTCTCAATACAAGAAACTTCCCATAAATGGAGACAAATTAAATACGAACCTTCAGCGTCCTACTTTCCTCTTTGGGTTGTTTATCAATAACTGCAGATGATGAACTAGCAGATAGAGCTCTCCCAGCCGCAATCATTGTTTTTGCAATCTATAGAACATTTCCACATGTCAATGTTACAAAGATAAAAGTCATCATTTTAAATATGGCAATGTTGATTCTATGTATTAGTATAACTGTTTAGTCATGTTATTTTGTGCACCAGTGACCTAAATAATGAGATTGCTAATCTGGTGTGTGTTTTTTCTGACACTTAACAATAGTAATAGTCTTTGAAAAAATAATTGACTTGAAAACGCCAATGAATACTCTGACGGGAATTCAGATTTAAGGGATAATCCTGTAAAAGCCAGTTCTCAAGAGTTGGGACTCCAATAACTTAAAATAGAATTCAGCACAAAGAGAAAATAAATGTAGAGTTTTAGAGAGAAGATAGCATTTCTGAAAATGATGAATGATTCATTCGTTGAACCCTTAGCTATAATAACATCAGATGAACCTTACAATTTAGAGAATATTCTGACAATCTTGCTCACTCACTAATGCCATATGAGTTAAATGACAACAGAAAAGTAAATGAATGAACATAATGAAGGAGGTGAGTAACACGTGCTACACATAAAGGGAAACCGGAATGTAAAAAAAACAGGAATATAAACTATAGTGTGAACACATTAATTGTTACGATATGTATTTCCTGTGACAGATATTCAGAAGATTGATATGATCTATGTTACAATTAGTCATTGCAAAGGCATGTTATGTTTGGCATTCATGGCCCAGCAATGAAAAAGCATACTATAAAGTAAATATAAGAAAAAATAAAGTTTATACAGAAATACTTTTATGGTTCATTGTTTTTCATATTTGAACCTAATAACAACTTAACATCCTAAACTTGTTTCAATATAAAACATGTTTTCAAAGAGAAAAAATAATTCGTAAAGGAAATTAAGCTCGTCTCATAGAGGGTAAATGACTCGTAACAAACAAGATTAGGACCTAGTTTGAATTAGTTTCTAACCTATAAGGGGTTCTCAACTTAGATAAGTATTTAGTTCTTATTTCTTAACTAATGAAAAAAAAAGTATGTTTATAGGTAGAAACAAGCTACGTGACGGAGCGTCTGAAAAAGTTGATTGTAGAAGCTTATTTCAACTTCTTCAAGAGGTTAATATTTAACAAAATTATGGTCATTGAAGATGATTTCAACTTTCCTTTTCCTCCAAGTACTCGTTGAAAAGTTTGTTCAAGCAGATTCCAGTTAAATGATTAAAGCGATATGCAACAAAGGAGCATAACCTACCTTCATTCTATTTGGATATCAGTTAGTTATTATTCCCTAAAAACGCCAATCATTTTCTCATTACACATTTACTTCACAGAAGCTAGAGAACTACCAACAGATATTGAGTAGTGTAAATACCTTTTGTGTCTCACCTTGGCCATATTGTCCCATTGACTGAAACCTTCTTCCAGCGGCTACCAAACGCTTTCCAAGTGCTATGCAGCAAAGAGAACAAAGAGATCTTCAAGCTAAATCCCTCATAAATTTCAGAGACAGGTTTGTTTGAAGGAGTTCCCTATTATAAGCTCATCGACAATTTGCTCATGCAATTACCTGATTTGGCAGTGCCCGTCAAACTAGCCTCAATCAAAGGAAGCTTTGCCACTAAAGAGCGAGAGGATGATGTATCAGCAAGCTCCCATGCTCGAGAGAGGTTTAGCAGTGTCTCTCCTAACTCTTTGCCACACTGAGAAAATATTACTCATTCCCATTAAACAAATTTATCCATTCTATTTTGGACTTGAATATACTCATGACACACATAGTATAGTAGAAGCATTTTTTGGAGGCAACCTTATGGATTAGCACAAAGTTACATACATGTAAATTGTAAACCTTAAATGCTGCAACTTAATTTTCCATGAATACATTGATTGAAAATGAAATATAAATAAATAAAAAGATATAAACATGTGAAATCATCTTATTAGTGTATTACAACTAAGAAATCAGTTAGTTAAGGATGCTACTTTCGTCGACACTTAATTATCGATTAGTTTTGATGCAAATAACCAGAAATTGAATCGTTCTACAAGAAAAGCAAAGAGGATGAACTATTAGCATTGTAACAAAAAATCTTAACAAGAATCTACATTGTGCTGGCATTGGAGGTAGCAAGCTATAAATTCCTTTGCCAAGACCAAAAACAAACACAAAGACACTAATAATTATTTTAAAGAGTGAGAGTGATTGAATGCAACATGTATCAATCAGTATAGTATTGGTGTACACCGCATAGACTTTTCAGACAGACACCGGACACATCTTCAATTTGACGTATGTACTACATAAATACTAACCTCATCCAAGACCGGTCCATTTGAAAGGTCGAACGCAGCATCATTTAGCTTTTACAAATCACAGACATGATTACAAAGTAAAGGAACACTGTTAATTTTGGTAATTGTCAATAATAAAAACGACTATACGAAAATCTTGGGTGTTAAACTACACACAGAGGATTGCACCACACTTACATCTAATCGAAGATCGTTGGGAAACTTTGCAAAGTAATCAGAAGGAAGATCAAAACTTTCCTGCAACGTGAATTGGGAATTTTCAAATATAGAAAATAATGATAATTTCAAATTTTGAAATTTGAAACATAACCAAAATGAATGGCTTACGGCAATGTCTTGGAGAAGAGTATTGGGGTCAGGTTGTGTGGAATTAGGCGAGTTGGATTCTGTGAGAGCGAAACACGGAGAGAGAGGTTTGGGAGAAAAAGTGGTACTGGAATTGGTAGAAGTGAATCTGAGAGAGGTTGTGGAAGTGAATGGATGGGTGTGATGTTGGGAAAGAGGGGATATTGAAAACCAGAATTTGGAGAGAGGGGGAATAAGATGAAATTGAAGAGAAGGTGAAGCCATTGTTTTCATCTCAACTTCGATTGAATGAAGATTGAAGCTATGCAGTGGCAACACTGTGTCAGCCACGGAAACTCCCACAGAAAATGTTAAGTTTGCATGTCACACTTATCCCAAACTAGATAACGTGTTTTTATTAGTATTATTATTAAGGGGAAAAAACTTAATTTGCTTTTTTTTTTCTTTTTTAGAAAATAAATTGTTATTTTTCCTTTGTTCAAATGACAATGCTAAAATTGTTAGACTTCAAATTTTCAAATTTTCTGTGACTACACATTTCGAGCTGTTTCGAATCTGGAATCTCTCTTTGTTTAAGTATTATCTTCTTTCTTTTTAAAGCGTTACTTCAATATATTTGTTTTTTGTTTGTTTAAAAAAAGAAGTTTGATTATTTAATCAGTTACTCGAGCCCATATGAGTGAGAACAAAGGGAAATAAATAAATTTCCAATCTGGAAAAGAAAATTGATTTTGTTCAACATTGGAGTTGAAATCATGGCAGTGGATTAAATCTTCCTTCACACCTTCTATACCTTCATTCTCATAAACATTATCATTGACCGACATTTGGAATTAGAAAAGAAAAAACAAAATGAAAATAATTCCATTCTGAGTTGATAATTGAAGCATGTCTTACAATGCTATCAAACAGTAATGTATTAGCGCTTTAGACTTTAATGGAGAAATGAGAAGTTAAATCCAGCTCAAAATATGAATGAAATCAAATTGTGCGTCAATGCTATTTTGGAAGTAATAATTTGCAGTTTAACAGAAAAAATTACAAGCTAGTGTTCTTGTATGGCTACAAAACTGATTATAGATATAATTTCTCACTCTAACAACAAGGCGTGTCGGTAGATTTCTACAACTACAAGACCATTTCAACCGAAGGGGATAACAGATTCCAGCTTGTGATCTTTAGTAATCTGTCAGCTTGCAACCTTTGCCACTTTTCGTTGTTCAATTTGACCAGATAGTGGACACTGCATCTCGGTCCAACTTATTGGAACCATAGTTGCACCTAAACAAAGAAAGTACAACTTTTGAGGCACACATGAATTTGACCATGTATAACAGTGTAGGAAACTAAAAAAGAGTGTCCAGTCAGATAAGCTTAAAACAAAAATTTCAGATTGCCCGCCAAATATGAAAATCCCCAACTGTTAGGGAAATAGCACCTACAACTGCGAGCTTGCAACTTATAATACAATTTATTTCTGTGTTTGATGCTCATGAAAAGCCAAAATTCAAATCAGGTACCTAGACCAAAGTACAAGCATTACACTTAAAGTGATGTAAGCTAATCCACTCCCTCATTGATCTCTCAATAACGATTTTATATGCAGGGTGTGTAACTAACTTTAACAAACTCTCCCTCGAATACAAGTAACTCTAACAACTAACTCTAAAAAATTAGTTTACATCAGTCTTTGTGTCTAACAAGAAGTAAAATATAAAACAAATCCAAGTGTATCTTTCTAGTTACATTCTTTCAGTCATGACTAATTGAGATTCCAATTTAAATTAGCACATCAGTTCAAAGCTATAAATAAAACAGCAGTCCAAAGCCTACCCTTACCTCACCAACCCATTCCCTCATACAAACTGAGTGTTATTATTCTGTTAACTAGTAACTACTATCTGATAAATTGCTGTAACTCAAATCATATCAGAGATATGTGATGAAAGTAGAGGGAACCTACTTAGAGGAGGGTTGTTTGTTTGTGCCCCTGCTCAAGAGAAACTAGAAAAGGAAAAACAAACTAAATATATATATAAGGGTGAACCTCCCACAATATGAACACAATCTCACCAGCAGTGCTTTCTGCAGAAACAACGCCAAGTTCATTCTTTGCAGTTGTTAGAAAGTACGCCCGTGCATCTCCAAGTGAAAGCTGATAAAAAAGGATTGAGTAAGTTAAAGTGTTATTCAAGTAGCAACCAGTTGATTTCAGGGCAATTTGGATGTTATGAAATTAACTAATAAAACTCTTAAAGCAGTAATAGTACCACAAGAGCTTTAACAATGTCACCAGGACGAAAAGATAAGTGCATGTCTACTTTATCAATCTCAGTTGCCCTAACATCTTGCTGCCTGTCAAAATAAGAATTATGAATACCCAATATATTAAAACAGGAATAATCATTAGAATCTCAAATGACAACTGTATGAAATTCATGATATAAAGATAGTTGTGCACAAATAATAAAGTAAGTTCAACTGTTCAAACAAACACGATACAATTAAATGAACTACAGTTTCTACAGCCCTTATCTACCTTTTTTTCAAGTAATTGCTAAAGTCCCTCTAGAACAAAAAATGATCATTTCAAAGCTAGAGATTGTCTATGAAAGAATAACAACCTAGTTTAAAGCACACGCGTATCTTCCTTTTTACAAGAAAAATATTCTGGCGCTTAGTTAACAATACTTCCAGAAGTTCCAATACCAAGGAGAGGTCATGCAAACCACTTGTCCTCCATAAAAAATGTGTGTGCACATATAGACTATGGTATCAGAAAATATTCCTCTTTGATACTTCTTTTGTCCCATTATTAGTGTCATTTTTACAATATTTTTATGTTTCAAATTATATGTTCTTTTAGAATATCAATACATCATTTATTAATTTTTCCACAAATAGACTCTTATTTTTTGTATTTCAACTCACCTAACTACTCCACTAACTACTAGTAATAAGTGTACTTTAGTATTCTAGTATATACAAAATTCATCATCAATAAAATCGCCACAACTAAACATTACTTTAAGAGGCGTGCAAAACTCAAATGGGACACTTAAAAAAAACGGAGAGAGTATTCTTTACAAAGAGTATTCACAAATTGTGCAAAATGAAGCATGATAAACTTTGATTTGAAGTCATGGAGAGACAAGGCCACCTAAAACCATGTACCACCAGGTAGTCATCCACTTTAAGTGAACCTTACTAAAGGCAATGGGAAAGATAATCAGAAGGAAGTAAAGTGCGGCTAACACCATGCATAATACAATAACAACCAAGCCTTATCTAACTAAATGGGGTCGGCTACATAGATCAACTTTTACCATAATATTTTATCCAGAACCATACTTCTATCTAAATTGTTAATCTTGAAGTCTTTCTAAATAACCTCTCTTAGATAATAGTCTATAATACTATTTATGCAAAACAAAATTAAAAGATGCAGTGGCATCCTATTTTATAATTTCACCCCTTATTTTAACAAACACTTCAGCTAGCTCGTCTGCTGTAACTAATAAGTCCATAGCTAACTTATCAGCTATTTTCCACTTTGGTAAAATTATAGCATACCTAATGATGCCAGTAAATTTTTCACGAACAGACTTTTGACCAACACACATAATATCAGCAAAAGCGGTTTTAGCCATCACTTTGGTAACCCTGGCAATGACAATAGATCCGGGTTCAGGAACAGGTCCATGAGCTTTATGACCAGTTACTTCAATAGTAGGTCTCTGAATGTTGCAAACAAACAAACAACAGAATGAGTAATTGTGATGAAATTATAATTGAGAAAACGAAACCCTAATTTAGGAGTGGGAATCGGAAGCTATTAGCTAACCTGGTCAGGAGAGTCCGAAGCGGGAGGTATGGTGTGGCGGAAGCCAGTTAAGGAGGCGTAAACGGTGTTGTTGTGAACCGCCGCGTATGTTCCTCTTCCGGCTTTGACGTCGGAGGTTTTGCCTACTACTTCTCCCGGTGTTACCATCTCTTCCACTGCTCCCATTAACGCTTTTTTCTCTCCTTCGCCGCTCTAAAGCTTCACTTTGCTTTTTGGGCTGAACAACTCACTTCTAGTCAATTTCATTATGAATTCATGAACGCCCGGCCCTTTCAAATATATAGATATTTAATTAAAAAATAGGCACAAATTATAAAGTGTGCAATATTGATGGGATCGAGGAAATCAATTAGAGTATCTAAAAATATCGAAGAGCTCTCGCCTTCTAAAAATGTTCATAATTTATTATTTATCGATTAAAATAAACTATCACCAAATTTTTTAATATATCATTTTCATTTTAATAATTAATAAATATTAAAAAAATAAAATTACTTTATATTTTATCACCTCATTCATTTTTCATTTTAAATATCTATTTATTAAAATAAACTATTATCAAACTTTCTATTATATTCTTTTTCTTTTTCTAAATTATAATAATAAAAAGGTATATTTATAATTAGCAAATGCTAAAAAATCAAAACTACCTTTTTTTCTGTCACTTCATTCATTTATTATTTTTACCTTTAATTTTCTCACTCTTTTTCTTTTTCTTAATATAAATTTTAAATTTCTTCCACATTTTTTTCACACTTTCTTACTTTTATTTTTAAGTATAAATAACAAAATTTGAATCTATTTTTAATTTAGTGAAAAAGAACATAGAAAATATTAAATTTTTAAAACACAAAATTTATCTCAATAAAAACATTATTATTTTATAATTATTATATATAAAAAATTTATAATTTACATGATTATTATTTGTTTTATAATTAAGTAACTCATTTAAAATTGACATATCTATTTAAATACATTTTATACAATATCAAATTTGATATCACTCAATAAGATTGCAAACAACTAACATTTCATACAAATTGTCATTTATTTGAGAGGCACATTTTTTATTTTCAAATGTGACATTTTTTTCTTTGTTCATCTCACATGTCTCTTTTTTTATATGATTATTTTGTACAATTTAGGTTATACGATCATCGTCATTTTACAACTAAGTAACATATAATAAATGGACATGTGTGTCAAAAAATATTTTATATTGTATCAAATTAAATATTACTCAATAATGGTTCACACCATTAACTTTTCATTTCACGGGTCACTGTCACAACAATATTTATTTAATTTCAACCAACAATTACATTTTATTTGGAGATGATTTCTTTATTTTCAAATATAAAAATTTTCTTTTTTTCTCTAAACTCTTTTTTTAGTTTCAAATTTACACATGTACCTAAATATATTTTATACGATATTAAATAAATTTAATCGTGCGGACGCACGTGTATCTTGTTAGTTCAAAAAACTCTAAATATAATAGTTAATGGTACCTGTCTTATATGTTATGAGTAATATAGTATGGAACTTCCATACTTTTACCAAAAAGCTCTAAAAGAAATTTGTTGAACAATTATTTTTCTTTATATAATTATAATATTTTTCTTGATTTGTTTTTATCAAATTTCAAAAGTATTTGACAATGAGGTATTCATGAAGGAGTGCATAAAATAAAATGTTTTTCTTTATTTTTTTAAGAATGTGTAATTTAAAAAAAAAACAAATAAAGCATTACTAAAATATGGTCACTAATAACAAACATATGTAACATTTTTATTCTTGTTTTAAGATTAACGTATTTGTTTTAAGAAAATATGTGGTCTGAAAAACACATATTTGTCCCTTATTTTATTTATGTCACCTCGTGAATTTATGGGTATTTTGTGTCTAAATATTATTTTTTGCAACCAAAGCCTACAACCTCTTTCAGTATAACTATCATTTACATTGTTTTTTTCCCGCTTTCAGTCTCCTTCTTTTTCAATTAGACACCACGATTCTTCTTTTTCTCTTTTCAACCATGCAATCACTTCTCTTTCTGGTTCTATCAATTGAATCACTACGAATATGGTTTATCCTTTCTCTTGCCACCGTCGTGATGCATACCATGTTCTGCAATACATCATTTCCTCGTCATAAACCTCTTTCTCTCTATCAGACTCCTTCAAATATCTTTCCATTACATTCGTTTTCTTTCATCATTTTCACCTTTTTTATTTTCTTTTGATAATGGTGTGTCCTTGTGAGTTGATAAAAAGATATAACTGATAAGAATGAACTATGGAAACTTGTTGTAAAGGTTCACCGCAGATGAACAATCTTATCTAATAACAAAGATCACATCGAACTCGTCTTGATTGATAATGAAGTAAGTTGATTTTCAACTTTTTTAGTCTTGATGATTTAGGGTTTTGGAATACACTTAAACATCATTTGAAAATTTTTCTTCAAGTCATTTTCCAGATCTATTGGTTTTGTCTAGTTAGGCTTTTCTTTTTGTTTAGGTTTTCAAATATTAGCTTTTGATGGTTTTCGATGACCCTAACCTCAATTGTTGTTTTTTTTTATGGTTTTGATGTTTACGTTTTCAACATTTGGGTTGTAAATAGTTTTTTATACATTTTGAGGTCTTTTGATTTTATTTGTAGTCTTTTAAATTATGTTTTTTCATCATGAATATCTTACATTTCTTATCCAACTTTTAAATATATAGAAAACTGATATTCATGTCATCATCCCAACGTAAATAAAAAAGAAGGCAATATGTGTCATTCTCTAACTCATAGCTACTGCGTGATACTTGTATATGCAATATAGACATAACGAGCCGCACAAAAACAAAAAAAATGGTGAGAATAACTTTATAGAAATTATTGGTGTATTAGTCAACAAGGATAGCATACATATACATAACACAATCATACGCAAACAACAATAACAAATCACAATGCAAATGTATTAATGTAATGTACTCCTCCTCCTAAAATGCATGTGGTACTAAAAGTTTGGATGTCCAGGTTATTTTATGGAATTATCTACATCTCTAATTCCTCTCAAAAAAGTATTTTCTTTGAACAATGAGATTCTCACAGGCTCTCTCTGAGCACTAAACCTCGTTGAACCAAATTCTTACGTATCTCCAATGTACGTGAATGCATGAACATATAATGATAATCACAACTCAAAATCAATCAATAAATGACATCTTGTATCTCGCAATAATATTATCTCTGAACAAAGTCCTTTTTGGACAAAGTTCTCTCTTAATCAAAATTTGTCAAAATAAGGCTATCATTGTAATTCTCTCAGAATTACGCATCAACAATATAACTAAATCTCAATAATTATATTAAAAGTAAAAGAATAAAATTATATTATTACTTAATAACTCAGAACACAAAACAACTCAATTTTCGTCACCAACTCATAAAATTACGACAGAGTAATAGTTATATTTCATACTCGCAACTCATCAAAAGGGTAACAACCTTTATCTTATACTCAACATAGTTCTAAGAGAAACTCTAAACAGCTTTACAACAATCTCAATAATTCCAATACAATTATAAAGTATTGTAAAGTGCTCAAAAGACAACTTTTGCATATAAAGATAACTCTTATGAACTCTATTGGTTGGCGGTCTAACTCGAATACTAATAAAACAACCCTAAGGTCACAATTGACTCTCAAACTTATCAAAAGGGTAGCGAAAAGGTCTTTGAAATTAAAATTACTCGAAATTCGCATAATTGGACCATGAAACATTGAATCTGAATGTTCGTCGCCTGCCAAACCGCAACCCGACTCGCCACCACCGTCGCACGTTGTTGCTGTCATGCGGACCGACTATGGCGGACCTGCGACCCGACGATGTCGGCATGACACCCGATTCCGACGGGTACTGTCGCTGCGACTTTCGGCTCTCAACCGCTGTTGGACACTGCTGCGACCCCAATTTTTTTCGGTCTGCTGCACATAACAATTTTCGATTTTTTTGAATTTTCGGAGAAAAAGATTGTTTTTAATAAAAATTAGGCCATTTAGGATACTGGTTATCGATGGCCAGAAGAAAATATCAATTATATACCACAGACAAAGCATACTCAAATTATCAACAAAAATCTCCAAAGGGGCACAACCACAAAACAATAACAACTATATCAACAATGTCAATTATATCAATCATATACTTAAACAATTCAATTCAATGTAGTATAATCAAATTGTTAATTTAAAAGGGTTTGGGACATGATAGTTGATTTTTGCTGTCGTTGGGATTCTATCTCACCCTCCTTCATACAAACGTTTTCTTTAAGTTTTTCTGTCGTTTTCCATTTTTCAACAATTCCATGTTCTGTCTATGAATCCCTTCTAACTTTTCTATTTAAATAATCTACAAGTTCAATTACTTCTCTCACCCTTAAACTTTTTATACACCCTCATTAAACCTCTATTTATTTTATTTTTTAAATTTAAATATTATCCAAATTATTTAAAATTATAATTATTTTTATTATTTCAATAATACAATTATTCACTTAAAATAATAATTTTATTATTCTCGCTAATCCTCGCCACACCATAGCTCTCACTCCAAACACCCCTCTCTTTTTAATTTAATTAAAAACTATTTTCTCTTAATTCTAGGATACCTTTAATTTTTTCTTAATATAACTAAATTACCAAAATACCCATAAATCACACCGAGCATATAAATCACTCAATAACATAAAATAAATTAATATAAACTTCAATTAAAATAATTAACTACAATTGGGGTGTTACATTTATAAGGATGAAGCATCTAACAAGTCTTAAAGTATGCGAAAGCATGCCTCGACACGTATGGGTGAATATACAGTAAAGCATAAGAATACTCTCGCAAAAATGCATGGCTAAATCACACACACACACAAACTTGTTTTTAAAAGTGCATTTTTCTTAAGAAAATATTTTTAAATTTTTCTTGAAGTCATGCCAGATGAGTTAAGAGCTATCAAAATAGCTTTGAGCAAAATCTTGTTTGTGTCAATCAATTGACACCTTATCCCAATCGATTGGGAGAGTTCAAAAATGCCCCCTAAGCGATTAGGACAACATCTTAATGATGGGTGATAACTATATATATTTCCTTACTATTTTTAACTTAGTAATCAATTAATTTGAAGGCAACCAATTGATTGATGCATATTCCAATTGATTTGAAACTCATAAAAAAGTCTTTAAAACTATTCCCTTTTTTGCGCCAACCTTTAGTCTATAAATAGAGGTGCATTCTCACTCTGTTAAACATCCAGAATTGTCATCTCATTTCTCACATCTCACACTCTCTCTGAAATTTTATTTTCTTTACTTTCACTTACTAGTTTAGCCAAAGTGCTTTTAGAGAAAGTCATTTTGCCAGCGAGAAAGTTGTAATTCTATAAAGATCATTTTGTAAGTTCAACAAGGAATTTTTATTTATACCTTGGTCGAACATTTTACCCATTTAGGGATTTTCTGTTCGGGTTAGAAGCTAAACTCTTAAAAATGTTTGATTTGTGGATTGTGCTATTAAGTTTTTGTTTAGGTTTAAAAGTTAGTTTGTTCAAAAGCTTTCAAGGTTAGAGATCACCTAGTGATAAGATCTCATAGGTTCTTAGTTAACCTACGATAAAACCAAGATTCGGTTAAAGCTCAACCAACAATAAAAGTCTATTTCGGTTTGAGATCAGTCTGGTGGTAATACCCCACATGTTATTGGTTAGCCCAATACAAAACAAAGTTTTGATTAACCCGGTGTTAAAAGCTTCAAATGTTTGTTTGAAGCTTGAAGGCTAATTGCCCTAAGTTTCTTGTGGAGAGGAGACTAACTTCTTTGATCCATTGTTTGGAAGGAAGACTCACTGCTTATCCCCCGTGTTTGATCTTCAATTGGAAGTTAGCCACAAACTTCATTTTTCCTTGTATAAGAGGATTAAAGAGTTCAACCTACTAAAAACTCTTAAGTTTATTGGATACTCCTAAGATAAATTCTTGGGAAAAGACTAAGTAATTTTTGGACTGAACTTGTATAACTCCTAGTGTCTTCTCTCATCTTTTAAAATTTTTATTTTCGCATTTTATATTCAGAAAATCTAATTTCCACTTCATAACTCTATAACCTTTCTAAAAACATGTTTTCAAACTCTAATTTTAATTATGAAAGTTTCTCAAATCCAAGTTTTTATAAAACTCACAATTCACCTGCTCTTATGTGTGAAGTCACATGTCCAACAATATGTGTTGATACTCCTTTATTTGTTTTGTATGTGCATGAAACATGGTTAGCACCTATAAAGAAATATTTATTACTGCATGGACTAATAAAGTCATTGATTTAGAGAACACGACAATGAACAAGTACATCAATGTGACTTTTAATATATTACATTACTAATTATCAAATTATGACGTCTTTGTCTATTTATGGTTTTTAGGGTTTAGTATGCTAATTAGAGACTAAGGACCATGTTGACTACTAGCCATAGAGATTTATGCAAAAGTTGGGATGGCGTGAACTCCACGTTGAAGTTGCAACTAGGTTCAATCAGAGGATAATTTCAAAAAAAGTATTGCCAACATTAGACATCGGTATAACACTCCATTTTACTCCAAATGGTACAATTTCATTTCAAGATAATGTATACAACACATTAAAAGGAGCTTGAAAGGGTAAAATTTGGTGGTTGTGTCAAAGATGAATGTGGTTGCTTTATTACAATAACATATTGGTTATCTTGTGTGTGTGTCAACTTGTCAGTCTTCAGATACAAGGTGAGTCTGTTATGTTAGAATCGATTCATGTGTTTTGGAAGAAATTATACATTGAAGAGCATGAGGTAACTAAAGAATATATTGAAACACAATTGGATTTATGGTAAGAGTTTGAAAAGTTGAAGCAGTATTTCAATACATTGAATATTATTGGCCAAAGGGTGATGAATACAAAAGTTCGGGAAGTAACACATTCATCCACAACTTCCATGCGTCCATCACTAGTGAAGTACATGCCAAATAAAGGGTTTAAGAAGAGTAAAAATAATCAAGAGATTAATGTGCATCATGATCCTAATCAGCGAGAGTATGTTGAAGGCTCGTATAAAAGTTAGAATATGAAGAAATTATGTATAAACCCAACTAAAAGTCAATCGTCTAGCTAATCTTCAAGACTTCTTTACTTGTCTCAATTTTCTATTTTCTTACACAAGCATATTGATGACATTATTAATGTGGGTCAAGATGGAAATTGTGGTTTATGTGTTATTATAGCTTTACTTGGATGAGGCGAAGCGTCTTAGCCTTTGGTTTTGACGTAGTTAGGTGCTGAAGTTTATCAACACCATCAAATGTATTCCAATGTGTTATATGACATAATATATGAAGTTAAGAGTTCGTTGTGAATAACTAGCTTGGGTGTGTATGGTTGTGAGAAATGAATGACGATTCTTGATATGAGTTACCATATTGTTTATAGATACAATGTCATATTAGTCTCATTGCCTAGGAAGTTTAGCATCACTTTCTTCTCACTAGTGGTATCTCCATCCATAGTTGCAAGTAGACATAAATTTATTGCAGTTAGCTTTGTTAACAATAGTCATTGGGGTTTAAGTGAAGTTGAAACTCGATTGTCCATTGCCTCCCGTCACCGAATGATGAAGACATAATTATAGTGAGGATGCAAGAGCATGAGAAACAATATATGCGGGACATATAAGACACTCGGAAAAAGTTGTTAGGAGCATATTTGTTTTGTATTGATGTTATAATACATTTTGCATTATATGTATATATTTTTATCGTGTTAATTGTTGTATTGTCTACCTTTTTTTTAAAAAAAATAAAAAATTTAAGTTAAAAAAAAATAAAAAAAATACCACTACCTACCAAAAACTTTAAATATTAAAAAAATTTGGTATGCATCAGATTTTTTAATATATCCTGTACGTAATAAAAAGTTTAAGGATTTTTTTGAAACATATGGTATGCATGAACCAAATATTTGAAATATTTAGCATTTAATCATGCAATTTTTTGAAAACAATGCATTTTTACCTGAAATTTTGGAAATATCCAATATTTCTTTAGAAAAATTGATATTTTTTGCAATATCCAACTTTTCTTCAAATAAAATTAAAAAATCCAATACCAATATATTTTTTAAAACCAAGAAATATTAGACAATGATATCACGGTAAAAACACAGTTCATGGGGTTAGCAGGTTAAAGTGTGGGGTGGTAGGATAAATTCTCCAAATTCCAACCATGTTCTTTCTGTCTTAATAAGAGGCCCATTCCAGTGTAAGCCCAATCACAGTCCGGATCATCTCCAGGCAGGTAGATCTCAGGTGCGACGAGTCTCCCAAATCTCACGTCAATGGCGTTCACTGCATTAGTCTCTGTTTGATCTTCCTCACACTTGCTTCTTCTTCACATCTCATGTTAATTTTTTCAAAATTGATCGAAATCAAAGAAACCGGCGAACAATTTCTGCATAATCAAGATGACTGATGTCACCGGAAGCTCAGTGGTGGTAAATACAACATAGCATAATCATTCCTTACTTGTTGATTTTTCTATTTCCCGTTACACTGAATTTTCTCCTATCAGCAACAAATTTCTGAAGCTAACATTTCGAATTTCATTTTGTGTTGCGCAGAGTCCTTCCAGTGCTTTTGATATGGGAGCATTCGTTGGCGACTTAACCATCGAAGAGGATCTAAATGGGTTAATATATTGCAGATACCATTTGTTTTTTTCAGTTTGTAGTTGTAGTTAATTTTGCGACTAAGAATGTTAATTTTAGATGTTTTTTGCTTACATTGTTATTGTTTTTGCAGTGATGATATATCGTTGGAAGGACTACAGCAAGAGCTTGAGGAATGTAAGAATGATGAAGTAAGTAATTATTTCAACTTCATCCTTGTGTTGGAAATACTGCTTTTTTAGATTCTGATGAAATGGCTTAGTTGATCTTAGCTAGCATAAGGTGTTTGTATTTATATTTTTTGAAATGTATGTAAGCGTAGAAGATAAAAAGTAAGAGAAATATATATAAACATATACGATATCACATATGGTGTTTGTATTTGGTTGTTCAAATAGCACAATTGATTTTTTTCGTACTCTTATCTGGTTCATTAGACTAACATTTTATGAACAATTGTATTTTCTTTTGTGCATGTATGGTTAATGCTCGCAAATCATATTCTCTATATTTTTCTTATTTTCATTGCCTTTTGAAAGTTATTAAGTCGTTTTCATATGTGTAGGTAGTTGCAAATATACTATCTAAAGGTACAAAACTTAGAGATTATACCAAGGGAGTTGAGAATGATTTACGCAAAGTGGAGTTGGATTCAATTCAGGTTTGTTGATAATATTGAGAGTGTTTAAATAGCCACACCATTTTGTTTGCTTTGCCAGGTTTGATGACATTGATGATGAGTAAGCATATGTATTTACTGTCTGGTTATAGTACTGATTTTACACGTAGCCTTGTTTTTCTGTTTTTCTGAATCTCTATCCTTCAAGCATAAGATTGGCAATAAACTTTTCTCTGACTTTTAGGAGAATGCTACTTTTCTACGATTTATGGTCACTAAGAAATTATGTAAAAATTTGATTATATGGCATTCTCCTAAATGTAGTGAAGTATTATGAAAGAACCTCTTCCGCTTTATCATGAAATTTTGTTTATCATGTCATACTGTTCCTAGCATTAATCTTGCTTTTGTCGATTGTTGCTGAAAACACACTAATCAATTGATTTTACAAATGTTCTATTTATTGCAGGATTATATTAAAGAAAGTGATAATCTAGTCTCTCTTCATGATCAAATTCGAGATTGTGATAATATCTTGTCACATATGGAAACTCTGCTAAGTGGATTTCAGGTATGTTGGCCCTTTGAGCAATTTGAAAAAGCTTTCATTTATGAGCACCTATAGTGATATAAAGCAGAACCAACCAATCAGTTCTTAGTTAATTAGTATCATTTAAAAATGGTGCCAAGTGTGTTTTCCTGATATTTTGACAACCCAAGTAATGCAAGTATTTTACACTTGGATTGACACCACAATCTTAACAATTACTCTTAAATTTTTTTTTTATTCTAAAGCATGAATGTGAAATTTCTACATTGTTTAGTTTTAGAGGTATTATTTTCACATTACAATAATAAAGTGCCTATTTATATTCTGAGGGTATATATATTGCTCAAATGTTACAATTACATTAGTTTATATTCAATAGTTTGAAGGACTTATCAGACTATATGAAATTCAATTTCTATGTTGATTTTGAATGTAAAATCACAAACTCTTGATTTTATTTATCAGGCTGAAATTGGTTCCATAAGTTCGGACATTAAAATTCTACAGGAGAAGTCTATGGATATGGGTTTGAGGCTTAAGAATCGCAAGGTATGACCATCTTATATGAACAGACTAATATTTCAAAGACATTCTTGAATTGTAGCACCTTTTGGCGTTTTCTTAGCATAATATAGCTGTCAATTTGATCTTGGAAGCAGAATGCATCAAAAAGCTGTATACATTTTGACAAGTTGGTTAATTCATTAGAATTTCTTTAATTGTTGGACTTCTTTTCAATTTTGGATTGGGGGTATCACTTTCACTATCACATATTCAGTCTAAAATATTTTCCTCTGCAACCCCACCCACCCCCTACTTAGATTATGTCTTTCTTTCTGTATTTTGACTATATGTTGTATGTAATATAACTGGTCTTGTTTTTTCTCCTAAAAGGTGGCTGAATCGAAGTTGGCTAAATTTGTAGAAGACATAATTATCCCTCCGAGGATGGTGGACATCCTTATTGATGGAGAGGTATTATGCTTTTTCTATAATCTACTTCTTCCCTCTCCAATAATGGTTTGTTAATTACTTTTGTAGGTTGTGTGAAAAACACATTTAACACTTTTAGTAGTATTTGTTGAGAGTCCCACATCGATCTGAGATATGGCCTAGGTTGTGTTTATATAGTTTATGCAATCCTCAGCTTACAAGTTAGTTTTGTGGGGTTGGGTTAGGCCCCAAGTTTACTAAATTTGAAGGGTATTGTTTGCATCTTACCTTCTTCATTTTCATCTGCTTTTCAGGCTTTAAAACAAGGGTCTGATCTTGAATCCGTAATATATGTTTTTTAATGACTTTTATATTTTGAACTTATGTTTGAAAATAGTCATGTATAACAAATATCGCAGTGCTGGTGTTGGGAAGGTCTGCCATCTGCATGTAACATTATAAACACTGGTTTCTTTTTATCTAAGATTGTGGCTTAGGTGAACAAGTGTCGTGGATCCTTAGAGAATTAGCTACACCAGAAATCTGGTTTTTATCACTTTTTTTTCAGAAATCTGTTGTTTGGTTTTGTTTATTAGTTTTGATACACACATGCAAATGTATGCATGCATTACATACACCATGCGTACATATAAAAGTGTATAATAGAATAATACTTAGACCGACAGTTTATTGCTGGTCATGTCTCTTCTTGCTCTTCTTTGGCATTTTTGCTAGAGTTATTGTGCTTTAAACATTGGGATATACTTTATGTACACCACACAATACTTGATATGTATACTGCCCCAAATGACATATCTACCACCACTATATTCCCTTTTAGTTAGCTGTCTTGCTCACTTTGGATGTTTTTCAGGTCAATGAGGAATACTTAAGAACTCTTGAGATTCTGAGTAAGAAACTGAAGTTTGTAGAAGTGGACACAATGGTTAAAGCTTCAAAAGCTCTTAAAGATGTTCAGCCTGAGCTTGAAAAACTTCGGCAGAAAGCAGTCTCAAAGGTTGTCTGCACCTATAGTATTAGTGTGACATTTTAGTTTCTTTTATAATTTCATTCAGAAATTTTATTCTATTCTGAGAGCTGTTTATAAGATAGACAAGTATTTATATTATTGCTATTCATCCATCTGCAGGTGTTTGACTTCATTGTTCAGAAACTCTATGCATTGAGAAAACCCAAAACAAATATCCAAATACTTCAGCAAAGTGTCCTTTTAAAGTACAAGTGAGTTTCTTTGATTAATCTCTAGAATGTGATAGGTTGATGGATTGATAAGCTATATATTCTCAATTTCCAATTATTAAGTTCCGCTAGCACATGATTTTATTTGCTTGATAACAGGCAAAACACATATATTGAGATTTTTCAATGTACATTTTTGTTTTAAAAATAAGTGTGGTTCGTACCACAATCTCTTTTGAGTATTACTACACTTTGTCATTCACAGAGTTATTTTCAAGAACTGTTTGTATTGAGCCTTCAATGTAAAGCTGCAGCTAAATCATCAGGGTCCGTGCTTACAAACTGATTTGTTGATTTGTAGAATTTATTTATCGAACTACCATTGAAGGATTTCCTATTTGTAAATGCTATAGTTGTCATAATTAGCATTTAATCTGCCAACAGGAGAACTAGAGAAGGATCTGGCATTTACCATTCTATACTTCCTTGCTTTCACCGCCTTTAAATTGTGAAAGCATTTTGGTTAATTTTGTTAACTTTGGGTGCTTTATGAATCTAACAAATAGAAGTGCAAAAGTGTAGGTATGTTGTTAACTTCCTCAAGGAACATGGCAAGGAAGTATATAATGAAGTTCGTGCAGCTTATATTGATACAATGAATAAGGTAACTGCTAAAATCAGATTCTTCCATCAAGATATTTGGTGATCAAAATGTTATCCTTCATATTAATAATGCAATGAGCAGTAGAAAAAATTTGTTTACTTTCACTTTTTTTTTGTTCGTTTCTCAATTGATAGCATCTTTCTCAAAGTAAAATGAACTTCACATCAGCATCTCAGCACATATGTCAGCAAAGCTTTAAAAAAAAAGCTTACTATTTCAAAGGAACTTAAGCTTACTATAAACTGTTGACAAAAGGCTCGTTTTGTATGATTATACATCCGGCCTAAGTGTACGTTCAATATAGAAGAAAGCCCACACCAAAAGTGCTTTTTTTTTTTACCTAAATGAAACTTATTTGAGGTGTGAATGGTAGCATCTATAAATCTTTGCTAGCTTTATCTTGGCCCGACTTATTTAGATAACTGTTGTACTGCTGTCTGGAAGATGTTGCTTTGGTTCTATGTTGATTTGCTGGCTTTCATGTTTTATGATGGATTCACTTAAAGGACTTCTATTTTGGTTGTTATAATGGATGAGCTAATCCATGTTACAATTATCAATTTTTAGCAGCTATCCCAATATGTGAACGTATACATATAGACTGAATATAGCGTAATGAATTTGCATGGAAACAGTGCGTTTGAAAATTATTTCATCAAGCATCCTTATGCTCCTGTATATTTGCAGGTTCTCAGTGCTCATTTCCGTGCCTATATACAAGCATTAGAGAAACTGCAACTTGATATAGCAACATCCAATGATTTAATTGGTGTAGAGACAAGAAGCGGTGGTCTTTTTGCAAGAGCCTGGGAACCGTTAAAGAATCGATCTGCTGTTTTTGCTCTTGGGGATAGGATTAATATATTAAAGGTATGTCTCAACCTAGGAAAAAGGAGAAAGCTGTGCAGATTTTTCTTGTTTTCTTAATCAAACTAAATTGACCCAGAAATCCATATATTTATTATCATTGGTGTTAGTTGTTCCTTTTGAGTAGTGAAGGTTAGTCAAAACAAGGATTATAATTGTGGGAACAAGGAAAACAATTTTTTGGGGGGCAGGATTATGTTTCATGCCTCTAGGGATCTGTTGCTGGTTTAAATATTGATTATTATTTATTATACTTTGAATTATTTGCATTAGAAAATAAATAAAATTTCTTCCAAGAGTATTTGGTTCATACTGTACTTATTTATGATAGTTTTATTTCTTGGTCCTTGGTATTGTTAATGTGACTGGATTTGGCTGCTCTAAAGAAGGAGACACACTTTAGAGGATAAAAGTGAAATTATGACTGATGATTTTGAAAATTTAACAATTAAAATATTAACAATTTCATAACTTGTTATAAATGTGTATTATTCGTTCACAAATTCAACTGTTGATTGATTCTTCGATTGGTGATTGTTTTTACACTCTTCGCATAAGAGGAGCCAAGTTCAATTGAAATTTATATGCCATTAGTTGACCCTGATCTTCAGAGATTGTACAATCATTGGGTAATTGCCTTAGATTTGACATAATTTCAGGAAATTGATGAACCAGCATTGATTCCTCATATAGCTGAAGCCAGCTCCATTAAACATCCTTATGAGGTTCTGTTTAGGAGCTTGCAGAAGCTGCTTATGGATACAGCTACTTCAGAGTACTCTCCAGTTTGCTATGCTACTTAATATTGTATTACAAAATACAAATGTTCATAAATCTCTAGTTAAATGCATGTTGACATTATTTCCTTTCATCCGCAGATATAATTTCTGTGAAGAATTTTTTGGGGAACAACATATGTTCTATGAAATTTTTTCAGGTATCTGTGATGGAGTTTTAAATTTTCTAATGCATTTGCAGTCATTGTCCAACAGGTTGTTAACAGGAAGAAGTTTTTTAGCCTATTGATATATAAAATAAACTTAGTTAGATTAATTTAACATTGCTACTTTGTAAAATTGCACATTTTAAAATATGCTAACACGGAACCAAAAGTATTATGATGTTACAGAACATCATAAATTAAGGATGAAGTCTTTAATGTTTGCACATATCTTCTTTTTTAGTGCTCAAGTAAATAACCTTTGCATTTAATATGATAGATAATTGCATGGTAACCAAAGTCATTTTCAGCAAAAAAAAAACATTTACCTTTTTGGTAAATAAACAAACACCACAGTATCATTTCTGTATTCAATCTTTTCATTTCCAGAATCAACTGATATGCTTTTTGGTATACTCAGGTCCTTTTGGTGTCATGGATGAGCATTTCAATACAATACTTCCAAATTGCTATGATGCTATAGGTCTAATGCTTATGATTCGAATAATACACCAGCATCAGGTAAAGTTCTAACTTGTATTACTGATTCCAGTCTTCAGTAAGATGGACAACATATAAAAAAAAATCACATTGATGCTAATCAGACTATTGCGGCCTAAAGGTGTAATACCAACGAGTGATTTTCAACAATTCTATTATGGTTCCAATTTCCAAGAATCTTAATCTTAGCCACCCTCCTGGAATTCCCCTGAAATCTACTCCTTTGTTTTAAGATGCAAACCATTTCTTGAGCAACAATTACAAACTAATTGAATAATATACCTTATAAAACTGGTACGAAACTAGATAGATACATAACAACTGATTTTTATGGAAAACCTCTGGAGGAAAACAACCTCACAGAAATACAGGGTTATACAAGTAAACAAGGCAACACAAGAAAGAAAAGAAATATGATGACACGGTTCTGCGGAGTTCAAGAGCCTTGGAACTCTCCCTTTCCGAATTCCGCTCTGAATTTCTCATGCGATCTGCCCCTGTTCAATTTCTTTACTATTTATTATTACACACCACCTGAACTGAATAGACATATAAATACACAACTAATTGCTGTTCACAGCAGTAACGCCCCATAACTAGCAACCACTGTCCCATAAAGTAACTGCCCCGTAACTAGTAGTAATTTTCAATAATTTTCTCATAACTGATATAATCAGTTTTGCCCTTTCCTTTTGTACACATTTCTAATAAGGTCTAGTATTAACAAGAACAGATTTCATTGCACAGTTAGAATTCAAATAAGCTCCAATCTGTATTTCATGTTTCAGTTAAAAGTTAAAACCAAAAAGTAATGTGAATGTTGGCAAAGATTTGTCCATTTACAAATGTTTTATCCTTTAAACAATTTGAAACTGATATTCTTATTTATTTCAGCTCATTATGTCTCGGAGGCGGATTCCATGCTTGGATTCTTATTTAGACAAGGTCAGCTTCCTGGGCAATGCATTATTCATAGACAAGATTAGTTTTTTCTTGACAGTGTTTATTTCCGGTAGATTATGATGTTATTCTCATATACGAGTAAAACTCACCTGCTCACAAGTAGCCCTACAATTCTTTTAGGGTTCTAAGTTTAGACAGTTATAACATTGAAGTCACTGGGGTGTTGGTTAGAAAACTATTTAACTGTTTATCTGGAACTTAAATCTGTTTGAAATAATTGAATAATCTGAATGATTGTCTATATCATACAAGAAATCTGTACAACCATATACATACATGAAAACATAGTTAGAATCCCTCAAGATTGGGAGCAGATAGCAGCAAATTAGTGATGTCTCCCTGCAGCCAGCTAGCAGCTAGGTGAAGAAAAAATAGTCTTTAACACTTCATTACCATGAACTAGTGAATAAGCATCTGCTACTCGGTTCTCCTCACTTCATAATTAGCTCCATATAGCCGCGGTGTTTGACTCCCAAAATTCTCTCCTCATTTTGGCTATCAAATTCAAAAGCCATTCCTTCTCCTTCCTCATTACGAGTTTCATTTTTCACCCAATAAGACTAACCTGAAATTTTTATCAGAGCATTGGCGGCGGGATTGAATTTTTTTTCGCACTTAATATATCACCCTCAAGTCCTTCTTTCCATCAACGCCTGATTTGTTAAATCTTTTGTCCATTCTTTACTGTGGAAATTCAATTTTCATCTTCTGTTCTACCCAAGGAAGTCATAGATGACTAGGATCCTACATTTTCTTGACTAGACTTTCTAGATAATGGACTCCTATTGGTCTGGGTCTGATGTCTTGTGATATACAATATCAGTTCTCTTACATTTCCCTCGTTCATTCCAATATATTTTATTTACTGCCATTTATGAAATCCTTCTGCTGTTTGATGACGAAAATGGATAACACTAGCAGATAATATTGAGTCAATGGGCCTCTCAGAGTCATATTTGAAGCTAATTCATTATTTTGGCAGGTCAATATTTCCCTATGGCCTCGGTTTAAGATGGTATTTGACATGCATCTCTACAGTTTGCGTAATGCAAGTGTGAAGACATTGTGGGAAGATGACGTTCACCCTCATTATGTGATGAGGCGTTATGCTGAGTTTACTGCTTCGCTTATCCACTTAAACTCCGAGTTTGGAGATGGTCAGGCAAGTATAATAAATCTATCAATCATCAACTCTACTTTTTTTTTTGTTGTAAATTTCTAATACAATTCATCTGTTTATTAATTGCAGCTTGACTTGAATCTGGAACGACTTAGAATGGCCATTGATGATTTACTTATCAAGCTTTCCAAGAACTTCACAAAGTCAAAACTACAGATCGTGTTTCTTATTAACAATTATGATATGACAATTGCTGTTCTTAAGGTAGGAATCTGCAAGTTGGCTCTTCATTTATTTTGTAAAGCTATATCTGCACCTAGAAAGTACTTGGTCAAAACTCCATTTCAAGTTGCTTGCGTGATTTATGTCAAAATTGATCATCATGGCATGCTTTATCAATTTGGAATATCCAGGACAACTTGAATTTTTCTCATATGCTTACTTCCAGGAAGCAGGTCCGGAAGCTGGAAAAATTCAAATGCACTTTGAGGAACTACTGAAAAGCAATACAGCATTATTTGTGGTAATTGCGTTCAATCCTTTCATACCCGGTTTTGTTGCAAATTAAAGTTTGTGTTTGAATTGTGTACACAGTATACCAGAACAAGTTTCAGTTGCTATTTCTTCATATTCTTGGTTAAGAAATAGTGAAAATTTTTGCCCTAGTCTAACTTTAGTTTCTCCCGACTTGCCTTTGATTGTCATATTTAAGACCAAACCTTGTTTGGGAAATTTTAGTGCTGTCTGTCCTAATCTGAAGGAAATGAATTTGAAATTAGACTAGCTAGCTGAGAGTTGTGTCAAATAAAGTAGGGTAGAACTCAAGATATCACTTGTTGATAACAAACTATTTATGTGAAAACCACATAAATCAGAACTTTGACCTACAACAATTGTAAATGTGAACTTATAGAAGGAAATTTTTAGTGTATCCATTGACTAACTTTGAGGTATAACAGATAACTAGTTTACCCTCTCGCATTGAATTGCAATTGCAATTATTTTTACGGTTTTGGTTTTCAATCCCTGCAGGAGGAACTGCTCCAAGAGCATTTTAATGATTTAATCAAGTTTGTAAAGGCCAAAGCCTGTAAGTATATAAAAATGACACCAATGTAGCTTCTGATTTACGTTTAACATTTGTTAAAGTATGGTCTTGATTGCATTTGTTAAAGTATGGTCTTGATTGCATGAAATTTATCAGCGGAGGATCCAACTTCGAGTCCTGACAAACCTATAACTATTGCGGAAGTGGAGCCACTAGTGAAGGATTTTGCAAGTAGGTGGAAGGCAGCGATAGAGCTGATGCACAAAGATGTCATCACGTCTTTCAGTAACTTCTTGTGTGGTATGGAAATCTTAAGAGCTGCATTGACCCAATTGTTACTGTACTATACAAGACTCTCGGATTCCATCAAGAGGATCCCTGGTGGGTCTGCATTGAACAAGGATCTTGTTTCCATATCATCAATCATGTATGAGATTAGGAAATATTCGAGGACTTTCTAATTTTTTGAAGGAGTCTTAGTTATCTGTTGGGTCTAATTCCAAATCCTTAATATCCGATATGTTGTAAAAAATACATTTTTGGACTCAGATTTTTCGCTGTTTTAGGTACATTTATAGTTACCGAATTGGTGCCCTTGGGCACACCACTGTTGGAAAATGGTGAATGCTTCACTTGTAGTTAAATGCAACGAATATCAAATCCATGAATTTATACATAATGCAGAGACAGACATTATCGTGCAATTTTTATTTGGGTAATGAACTTATTTTACTTTTTCCTGTGGATAAGATCATAGAGTTGATACTATCATGTTTGTTTGCTTTTCTTAATTATAAAAGTTAAGAATTTATTAATTCACTCCTTGCATCTAGCGAAATTTCTAGAGATATTCTCTGTTTTTGGAGATACATGTTTTTGGAGATACATATTCGAACGTATTATTTTTATTTGTGCCGGATGCTGCTGGAGATGCATCTACGGAAAAAGTCCAAAAAATACTTTAAAAAAATTCAAATTAAAAAAAAATCATTTCAAATTTAAATAATTTTTTAAAATTTTAATATAAAAAATTAAAATATAAAATGTAATATTTAAAATAATATTTTAAGAATTAATAATTAAATTATTTTTTTAAATTATTTTTTTAATATTTTATAATTTTTTAAGCAAAATTGTTTAACACTATAAATAAAAAAATACAAATTTTTAGATACTCTTTACTTTTAGTTGGGTATTAGTACCTTAGTGTTAATTAATTTAAAACTTTAATTTTTAAAAAATTAAAGTAACATTTAAAAATGATATGACATATATTCTCATTTGAATAAAAAAAGGTACAAGTACCCACATATATTTAAAGGTATTGGATTCTCCAATAAAAAAATCTAAAACGATTGTACATTTATTTATCAGTGTCAATGAGTTTGCTTCGACATGGATTTTGTCTTAAATCTAATTTTGTAGTGTTAACATAATTAAATATTTTGAATTTTTTGTTTTTGGGCTTTATTTAAGAAATAAGCAAACTAAATCTATAAATAGAGAGTAACCTCTATTTTGTAAATACTTTGAAATGTAGTTGCATATTTTGAGAATAACATTCAGTTTGAATAGCAGAGAGAAACTCTGCAGAAATTCTCTTATTATTTCTCAAATTCATGTTTCTCCTTTCATCGTCATTTTACATAGATAATCATCTTCCAAACAAAGTTGGTTGATTCACTCGAGTGAAGAGTGAATAACAAGAAGAGAATTGAATCGCTTGATTGAATCATGTTCATCGAGATTGATTTGAAATTACTCAAAGTCTTGGATTTAATTCCAACATTCGGTATCTAGAGCATCGGTTGCACGATTCGTGGGAAGCAAAACACAACGACAATGACGATGAATCATCCGAACGGTTATTTTCCGGCGAGTCTCTTAATTATGAAGGGTCAGAATTATGAGAATTGGTGTAAACAAATGAAGATTGTTTTCTTTTGTCAAGATCTTTGGGATCTTGTGAAGGAAGGAGTAACACTACTTGCAAAAAATGTGTTGGATCAAGAAAAAGTCGCATACAAAGAATTGAAGAAGAAAAATTATAAAGCTCTCTTTATAATTCACCAGTATGTTGATCCATGTAATTTCAAAAAGGCCGGTGATGTAGAATCAGCGAAAGAAGCATGAGAAATCTTGGAGAAATTATTTGGAGACACAGAGAAGGTGAAAGAGGTGAGGTTATAAACTTACAAAAGAACGTATGAATTACTTCAGATGGAAGACAATGAAAGCATAACAAATTTTTTCACTAGGACTACAAAACTAGTGAATCAAATCAACGTATAGGAGAAATGTTGACATCAAGGTCAGTTGTTGCAAAGATCTTGAGGTCATTGGCTCTAAAGTTCGACCACGTGGTAGTAGCCATAGAAGATTCGAAAGATTTGTCAACATTGACAAAGGAAAAGCTTCAAAGGACACTTTAATTTCATGAACAAAGAATGACTGAAAGACCTGCAAGCAAGCCAAAAGGTGATATGAATTTGCAGGCGCAATCAACAAGAGAAAAGAAAGGCAAGGAGAAGTGGTTCGAAAGCAAAGGTAGAAGAGGCTACAACAATTCGACTGGTCGAAGTCAGCAAGAAGGAGTCTGGTCGAATAAGAGAAAGTACTTATACCAAAGTAACCAAATAGGTGGTGAAGGTGAGATAATACTTAGAAGGGGGGTTGAATAAGTATGAAAGATTAAAACTTAGAATTAAAACACAATTATTTTTATTCTGGTTCGTTGAACTCAACTACTCCAGTCCACCCTTCCTAGAGTGATTTGCCTTTCTCAACAAGGACTTAATTTACTATTTAATCAAACAGATTACAATAGTAACACCTAAGAACAACTGTTCTTAGTCTTCTCAAGAGCTACTGATTCCAACTGAATCCTCTTAAGGAAATCCTTTACAATCAATGTAAATCTAATACAAGAGTATGAATGCTTCTAAAAAGCTTTTATCACAAAAGTGATATTTCTCTTAAGATTAAGTACAAATAATTCTAAGAATGAATATGAAAGTATGAGAGCTTGAATGTTATAATTTCTTTTCAGCAAAATGTCTCACTGAAGAATTTGGTGGAGTCTTCCTTTTATAGGCAGCTGATCCAAGGAGAGCTGAACGTTGAGAAGAGTGTCCCAAAAAGGTCTGAGCCTTTTTTTCTTTACATCAAGTGACCTTTCGTAGAAGAAGAAAGCACAGAAAAATCCTTTTTGTCTGTGTTCTTGTGTCTAGCATAAATGAGGAAAGAGACGTTTGATTTACTCCAACAGATATAATCTTTGAATATTTCTTCTTCAGTTTTCAGCAAGTTCATCTGAATCTGATTGGGTCAGAGTCTTCTAAAGATGTTCAAAACTTTGTTGTATCAGAGTCTTCTGCAGCATGTGTGCTCTCAGCGTGTTAATTATCAGAGCATATTTGACACAGAACTTCAGTACTGGCAGCTTTAGTACTTTCAGAATCTTCTGTAGAACTATGCTTTGAGAAACTCTTCATACAATATTCTTCTTTGCTTCAGATGCTTCTGCTTGCTTCAGATTCTTCTGGAGCTTCTGCTTCAGAATCTTCTGGAGCTTCTTGCTTCAGATCCTTCTGGAGGCTACGCTCAGGATCTTCTGTAGGCAGCAATCAGAATCTTCTAATGAGTGCATCTGGCGCTTCAGAGTCTAGTTAGTTTCTTGTATACAATTCAGATTTGCTTCTGGAGTGTTAATTTCATTACAATCTGCAGTAAAACTCTCAAGCAAATTTTAGAGTATATAATTCTTAAATACAAAATTTCCTAATAGTTATCATCAAAACAAAGAGATATTATTAAGAACCAATCTGTGTTCTAACAATCTCCCCCTTTTTGATGATGACAAAAAGCATCAGAAATTTTGTTTAATTGAAAATACTAGAATTATAACTCCCCCTGAGATGATGAATCTCCCCCTGAGTTAAATACAAATAAGGAATAGAAACTTACCTTTTGTCTTTGAGTAATCTTCAGAGTTAGATCTTGTTTGTTCTTTTAACATTTGAAGGTCAGAGTGTCTTGCAGATTTAAGATTCAGAGTTTGATAATAGTCAAAATGATCTGAGAGACTCAGAGTTTCTTTTATAGAATGTACTTATCAAATATTCTGAAATAGTCAGATTAAATGTTAGATAGAATAAATATGTCTAAAGTTTCATTCTGGTGAAGTTATATTAAACAGTTCAGATCTATATTTTCTCCCCCTTTTTTGTCATAAGCAAAAAGTAAAAAACTTGAAAAGGACAAATAAAAGGAAATAGTAAATTAGATAATTCAATGGAGAAAACTTTGATTCATTCATAAAATCAGATCAAGAGTACATAGGCAAACATCAGAAGATATAGCAATAAAGTACATATGCAAACAACAGATGCAAAAACATTAGAATAAAAAAAAATCTAAGAGTGTTTAGACAAAAGCATCTTCAATAGATCTGTAATCTCAGAGGATGAATGCTCTTGCTTGGACATCCACTTAGCCATAGTTTCATTCTTTTCATCTTGCTTTGACATCCATTCTGTCATATCCTCAGACTTCTTGTCCTGTTTTGCCATCCAGGACTTGATCTCTGACTGACCAGCTTCCAGAGCAGCAATCTTATCTTCAAAATCTGGATGTTCTTTCTTTATCTCAGAGGAAGAAGTATGATCAGGTTCTAGAGCTTGAACAGAGTCAATATCCATTGGTTCTGTAGAGTCTGGAGCATTGGAGTTAGAAGTATGGTCTACCAGAGTCATAGCCAACAGATTTTCCTCATATGCAAATTCAGTAGATTCTGCTGAAGATGGAGGAGCATCTGTAAGAAGCAGAGGTTCAGATTTCTTGACAGTCCAGAATAGAGTTCTTGCAGCCTCAACAAATCTGAGCCTTGCATCATCAGAACAGATGTTCTGCAGATTTGAGGCCACAGAGTTGAATCTGTTGATGAATCCATTCCAGATGATGTCAGATTCTTTGGCATCCATTGTTGCTGAGCATTTCTTCTGAACAGTACCTAAATACATCTGTATTTCTTGTAAAAACGTTTGAAATAAATGATCAACATTAAGTATGGGCTTTGGACGTAACAAAGTTTCCAGAGTTACAGGTTTAGGTTGGGGAGTTGGTGGAAAATTGATTTTTGGATGGAGATCAGAGGAGGAGGATAGTATGGAAAGAAAGGAATTTCAGATTTTTGTGGTTGGGATCTATTTAAAGCATTTAACAGATTTGGTTTTACTTTGGTGGGATGGGAAACCACATTAAAAGGTTTATTTGAGTAAGGTTTGAAGGCAGATTTTGGAGGTTTATTGACAACAGGTGTATCAGATGATATAGGTTTATCCGAAGCAATAGCTTTGTCAGATCTAGCAGAATATGAAATTGTTGCTAAAGATCCTGCTTTTGACATGGAGTGGATATATGTAACAAGCACAGATGGAAGAGCCACTGTGAGTTTGGGTTT